GTTGTGGAACACAACAAGAAAATTGAGAATAATCTTGTGCGAGGGTAGGGACCCAGATGTCGTTTCTAACCCAAATAAACTTTAAGGAGGCTTCTCATCAGTAGCCGCACCTCCTTACTCGGTTTCTGAACTGGAATTCTATGGGCTTCCAGACGGCCAGACCGAGTATTACCACCCCATCCTTCTAGAGTTCATCACAAGTAGCACCCACCTTGAAGATCTTTGACACCCAGACACACCCCATTGGCGAACAAACTTTGGATATAATCTTACATGCTCCCGAAGGAATCCCTGGTTTATGGTCTTTCTCATCGTCACCAGCACTTTCACTAGAGTCACCAGCCCTTTCACTGGAGTCATCAGCCCAATCACTGAAGTATACAGAAGTATAGTTGTGGAACACAACAAGAAAATTGAGAATAATCTTGTGCGAGGGTAGGGACCCAGATGTCGTTTCTAACCCAAATAAACTTTAAGGAGGCTTCTCATCAGTAGCCGCACCTCCTTACTCGGTTTCTGAACTGGAATTCTATGGGCTTCCAGACGGCCAGACCGAGTATTACCACCCCATCCTTCTAGAGTTCATCACAAGTAGCACCCACCTTGAAGATCTTTGACACCCAGACACACCCCATTGGCGAACAAACTTTGGATATAATCTTACATGCTCCCGAAGGAATCCCTGGTTTATGGTCTTTCTCATCGTCACCAGCACTTTCACTAGAGTCACCAGCCCTTTCACTGGAGTCATCAGCCCAATCACTGAAGTATACAGAAGTATAGTTGTGGAACACAACAAGAAAATTGAGAATAATCTTGTGCGAGGGTAGGGACCCAGATGTCGTTTCTAACCCAAATAAACTTTAAGGAGGCTTCTCATCAGTAGCCGCACCTCCTTACTCGGTTTCTGAACTGGAATTCTATGGGCTTCCAGACGGCCAGACCGAGTATTACCACCCCATCCTTCTAGAGTTCATCACAAGTAGCACCCACCTTGAAGATCTTTGACACCCAGACACACCCCATTGGCGAACAAACTTTGGATATAATCTTACATGCTCCCGAAGGAATCCCTGGTTTATGGTCTTTCTCATCGTCACCAGCACTTTCACTAGAGTCACCAGCCCTTTCACTGGAGTCATCAGCCCAATCACTGAAGTATACAGAAGTATAGTTGTGGAACACAACAAGAAAATTGAGAATAATCTTGTGCGAGGGTAGGGACCCAGATGTCGTTTCTAACCCAAATAAACTTTAAGGAGGCTTCTCATCAGTAGCCGCACCTCCTTACTCGGTTTCTGAACTGGAATTCTATGGGCTTCCAGACGGCCAGACCGAGTATTACCACCCCATCCTTCTAGAGTTCATCACAAGTAGCACCCACCTTGAAGATCTTTGACACCCAGACACACCCCATTGGCGAACAAACTTTGGATATAATCTTACATGCTCCCGAAGGAATCCCTGGTTTATGGTCTTTCTCATCGTCACCAGCACTTTCACTAGAGTCACCAGCCCTTTCACTGGAGTCATCAGCCCAATCACTGAAGTATACAGAAGTATAGTTGTGGAACACAACAAGAAAATTGAGAATAATCTTGTGCGAGGGTAGGGACCCAGATGTCGTTTCTAACCCAAATAAACTTTAAGGAGGCTTCTCATCAGTAGCCGCACCTCCTTACTCGGTTTCTGAACTGGAATTCTATGGGCTTCCAGACGGCCAGACCGAGTATTACCACCCCATCCTTCTAGAGTTCATCACAAGTAGCACCCACCTTGAAGATCTTTGACACCCAGACACACCCCATTGGCGAACAAACTTTGGATATAATCTTACATGCTCCCGAAGGAATCCCTGGTTTATGGTCTTTCTCATCGTCACCAGCACTTTCACTAGAGTCACCAGCCCTTTCACTGGAGTCATCAGCCCAATCACTGAAGTATACAGAAGTATAGTTGTGGAACACAACAAGAAAATTGAGAATAATCTTGTGCGAGGGTAGGGACCCAGATGTCGTTTCTAACCCAAATAAACTTTAAGGAGGCTTCTCATCAGTAGCCGCACCTCCTTACTCGGTTTCTGAACTGGAATTCTATGGGCTTCCAGACGGCCAGACCGTCTGGAAGCCCATATTGTGTGTTTACTGTTTGACACATTTTTATGATATTATTTGATAAACTGAACCAGAGAAGTGTGCCTAAAGAAATAAAGATGCCTAGAGAAATAATTAAAGGTTGTCAGATTGGCTTATTAATAGACTTAATATATAAGCCTATTAACCCGTGTTTAGTTTACAATATTGCTATCAGATACGTGTTATATTCATTACAATTTATATATTTTTACTGCTTGATTCAGAGAAATCTAGCTTTTTCCGAGAAACTAATCTTTAATAGATTAGATAAAATGTACGCAGCCATTCTTTTCGTTTGATTATTACTCAGTATATTTTAGTTTTGTACCGTTTTAAGAGCGAATATGCTCCTGGTGCAATATAGTCTTAGGTGCTATTCAAACAATATACACATAATATAGCAATGACCCTATATAAAAATTTTGTAAAAATGGTACAAATTTAAAAACTGAGGTAAAAATAAAACCCTTTGTAATAATATATATATATAAAATCCACTAAATCACATCACAACAAAAAGCAGTTTAGACCCCCATCCAACAAGCACTCCATGACCTTTTAGGGTTTAAGAGTGTTGATCAGGTTAAGGTCCAAATCACTTATTGCCGTGGGTGGAAGGGTTCTGGTACCTCTGTACCCCCTGATAGAGATTATACAGGTTCTGAGTAGATCAAAACGCAGTCTGCGTCTGACAAATGACATCACATCACAATATCGTTGGCCTTTCTTTAGGCTGATCTTTTCAGCGAGATGTTTTAGGAACTGTGAAGCCTCGGTTGCCATTCCTCCTGTAGTACTGAACACCATGCCAGTGGCGTGAAGGTAGCCTTTTCAACATTTAGGACTCTGTCATTGTACTCACGTTTTTTGCTTTTCTCGTGAGATTGGTACATCTGTGAGATGCTCTTGTCACTGTTGGACTGGGCTTGAGGGTGAAGTACCCTTACATCTGTGAATGCCCTGTCCAGCGGCGACCAAAACGATCTCGCACTGATGTCCAGTCTTGCACAATCCTGTCTATTTGTTCCATTAGATAGTTCAAGTGTGGGTGGAACGGAGAGAAGCTGGGGTTCTGTTTCAACGTCTTTGCAAACAGTGGTTAGGAGTTCAGCTATTGTATCTCTTAGTGAATTGTGTCTAAGTGAAACGTTTTGATTGAAATAAATTTTCGTGCACATACAGAATGAATGGTTAATAATTTAATATATATGTAGACCAAGCTCTGTGCACGGGATGCTTCCTGGAAGAATCCAGTTCTTTTAGCGGGGCACCCTACCTAAAGCCAAATTGAGATATAATAATCATATTCCTAGCCTCCGATTTTGCAGGTTAGGGTATGGTTGATATGATTTTGATTTCCACATACACATAGGGGACTTCTGTTAGCTGTAGACAGTGTAAGATTATATCTGAGTGAGAGGGCATCAAAGAATTCTTGTTTGTTAAGGACGTACCCACATGCTTTTAGAGGGAGTGTGGATAACCAAATGGATGCTCCTTTTTCACTAAGGAGTTCTAATTGCCTTTGTGTTGATGGGGATACCTCATTCAAAATAGTTTCACGTTGGTGTTTGTAAAGCTCTTCCTTACGCTTCTTTACTTCACTTATAATTTCATGCTGCAGTTCTTCGTTTAGATGGAAAGTAGTAAGCTGTTGAAAAACTGTACCGTTTTAAGTCACATAGTTTTGTACGTCTTCCTAAGACTTGTTTTCCTTTCCTAGTTTGTAAGTTATTTTAAAGATTTGTGAATATTCCAGTTGCTTTTAGAACAATTTTATTTCAGATAACGATGTTTAATAAAATGATGCAAAGACTTATTTCGAAGATCTAATCAACACCGACTTTTAATATGTAGGAGTACAGCTACAAAATATATATATATAATATAACGGGTGATACTCGTAAAATATTTGTTTCAAAAACAGGACCGTCGACGAGTCCATCTCGGCGCGTCTTGTATCACGTGGTTACCCCCACCCTGTCGCTTCACTATAGTGTACTGTAGAGTTTCTACGATACAGGGGGAGCCGCGCACTCGTGCGCGGCGGGTCATACAACGCGACGTATGACAAGTAGCGCGCTTGTGAAACAAGTGCGCCCGAAGTGGCGCGAAAGCACATGGTTAGGTGAAATGGTCAACCGTTTAAACATTTAACGAAAACTGCAAATTCAGGAAAAAAATAGTAGATATACGACTAAAATCATAAAACTATATATTATAACAGAAGTTACTTTTCAAGCAAAAAGTTGATACATGTTTCGTATCCAAATATCAGAGATATTATGGATACACCATGAAGGAACATCTCTGCGCGGCGTAAGTAAATTTACAAGTTCGCGCGAAAAATTGTCTTATTTTCCTGGCGCTTTGTTCTCGCGCCGGGAGTGAATCACACGATGGGACCACTAGAAGCGCAATTGCGTAGCCAGTTTCAGCGCGCGAATTCCCGATTTTACGGGAAAAAAGTTTGTACCGTCCTTTTTGTAACCAATTTAAATTGTATTTGGTCTTACGAATTGTCTTCACAAATGTTGACATTGCATAGACAATAGTTTATGGAACACGTCAGTATAAATTTTACCGGTAGATTTTGATAATTAACCGATTTTTGATATCGCTCAATTTTGCGATTTTCAACAGACTATTGCGAGAAAAGTGCTCATAGGAAAGCATTGGTAATTGTACAGATTTGTCAGAAATCTTTTGAACTAATAGCATACAAAATTTGAGAAGTGTCCCATGAGCAGATTAGGAGATATAGACGGATAAACACCGTAGTCTTGTGTTCATAATAGAAAAGGCACGCAACTGGAGTCACCCGCGTGCCAATTCTAACAGTTAAAGCATTGAAAATATCAGTAATTTGAAAGAATCAGTGTGTTCTAACACAATATAATAAGACATAGTATCAAAATGATCAGTTACCACAATGGCTTGATCATGAGAGCAGAGGACTGATTCTCAATAAATGGAAGCAAGGAGGAACCATAATATGTGGGTTCGAGCCTGACCAGGAGTTGAAATCTTCGATTTCGAAGATTTCAACACCTGGTCAGGCTCGAACCCACATTCGGATGAATGTTTTGCTTTAACCATATAGTTTATCAGTACAAGATTAATATAATATCTTATTGAGATAAACAAATAAATTCAGTAGTTCGATAAAAACACCAACACAATTACAATTCTCCATCATTCAAATTACTACCGACACGTCATTGGCCTCAATTTTGCGATTTTCAACAGACTATTGCGAGAAAAGTGCTCATGGGAAAGCATTGGTAATTGTACAGATTTGTCAGAAATCTTTTGAACTAATAGCATACAAAATTTGAGAAGTGTCCCATGAGCAGATTAGGAGATATAGACGGATAAACACCGTAGTCTTGTGTTCATAATAGAAACGCACGCAACTGGAGTCATTTCAGATACGCAAACCAAGATTTCATCCATTATAGCGTTTTCTCTTCTGTTGCTGGCCAGTGCAATAAAAAAGACTGCCGTTGGGTCATTATTATGCATGAAATGAATTGCTTACAGTACATGCATATGCATGATATAAAAAGTTAACTCTTAACTGACATTGCTTGCTTTTCTTACAATTTATGAACATTACATTCGCGCCTTCCATCAAGTAGAGCCAGTAGAATTTTGAAATTTGACCAAGCAATCTGGACTTTGCCAATGTTGTTGAAATACTATTCAAAGCTGATCAAGAAAATTACTGGAATAGTTCCGTCTCTCCTACAGTATTTTAGACCTATTCTGCAAAATATTAGCGCATAGAATTAAAACAAGTTCTTCTATGTTGATTGTTGCGTGCAGCGAGATGAAAGATTTCTTCGACAGTTGAAGAGGGCTGAGGGGTAGTGAACCAGCTCATCGGTTCATGACTTTCTTTTGTGGCAGAATTAAATCCCTGTCAAAGATTGATAATATCAAACGACTTTAAAACATAACCTCAGTAAGTAGTGTATCAAAATTGTGTGCTATGTACCCTATGTAATAATATAATAAGCATATAAATTGAACTCAATCACAATAATATTTGTTCGTTAGCATGGACAAATAATTGGCAATAGTAATTTCAATCAACTTACATCTGTTCTCAGACAAGGAATGTTACACTTTTAAAGTAAAGAGATCTAAAACCAACTGTTTATGTACTACACGCTCCTCCGCTACACTGACCGATCCAGTAAAATAAACGGAGCTTTAGCACCTTTAATCAGTATCTGATGAAAGGTGCTAGAGCTTCCAAATGATACTTTGACTTCTCTATGTTTTTCCTTTATTCCTAATTTCTACTCACACTCACAGTACTCAATTTAAGTTCAAGAAAGGAAAAGATGCAATCAATCTACGTTGGAAAGAGTTATTTGCTTAAACTCAACCAAGACTCTCAAACAGCATTTGAAGAACATTCCACTATTCAAGCAGACTTACACTCGTGCTCGGTGCTCCATCTTTGGTAGACACTACCGTCGAACAAAAATTGTCCTCCGACAAGATTTTATTACAAAGTCTTACACCCAATCTTACTCCAAAGTCCAAACCATTCAAAAACCAGAAGAAGAATGAAGATTCTAATTCAACAGCAGAGTTTGTGGTAATGTCTAGAGAAGACCACATCAGGACAACTATGACTCACCGGTAAAGCTAGGCCAAGATTTGTGAAATAGAAAAGAAAAAACATCCAGAGGATTAATACAAGCTTCTTTTAGCTTATTTAATCTTTTTGTCATCTAGGAGTAGACATAGTTTGAAATCAGCATCACAGTCGCAAAACAGAAAACAATATTCGTGGTTGATATCTTTTCACTGTCGCTAAACGTGTAGACAATTTTTATAGATGTCCATGCCATACTCTTGCAGTAAGTATTTTAGTGGTATTTCTATTAACTAACTAAAATAATTTCCACAAAACGGACGTTAGCCGAGTCGGAAGGGGCTGGCTTTCGTATCCAAGGACATGAGCATTGAGCCGTTCATACAATGGGAGTGGTACGAGGGCGAGGTATACAATCATAAGTACGAGATCAGCTGTCAATATACAACCGCACTCCTGGTAAATATACTGAAACGTGAACGTGAAGAGTATCGTTTTCAATGCAACATGCCTACTTTCTCCAAATTCATCAAAGAACAAACTAGACTCTAGAGAGGATCTCAACAGCTGGTTGACACGGACGGGTACATTTACTCCAGGAAGGAGCCTAAAGGCTATAGATACAGCTCTCTACTCTGCTTTGCGATGCCGGAAGAACAACCCTCCTACCGATTGTTCCTGTCATGCCTACCTCACCCTGTCAGATAACTCCTTAATCCGATAATTTCGGCTAGGAACAATATTTTTCTATGGGACTAAAAGCAGTTGATAGATATCAACTATAAAGTCGATTTCGAGAGAATTTTGATGAAGATCCCCCCCCCCCGGCCCCCTCAAAAAAAGGACGAAAAAGGGAAACTTCAAATAACCAGTTGTTCCATATCTGTTTCAAATACTCTGATTACTCTAGCAAGGTTGTCAGGTTGACTAGGGTTCTTAGTTGTCCGTCAGGCCTAAAAGCAGCACGTATACTTATATATGGTGTTGTGCCTTTGTTACATAGGGCGTTCTTTTGGTGGATATTAATTTATTAACACTAGTTTACATAATTAAAGTCTATTAAATTTAGATTAAATCTTGTATCGTCTTACAACGTCTTACAAGGTCTCATAACGTCTTACAAGGTCTCATAACGTCTTACAAGGTCTCACAAGGTCTCATAACGTCTTTACTTAGAGCATATTTACTATTTGATTATTCTAGAAAGTTCCAGAATATTCTATAGACTCAACATAAAATGTAAACAGTATTACAGTACTTACCAAATGGTGTGTGTCGGAGGGAGTTGTATAAGGGCTATCAAACTAGAATTGTTAAGATGTTGTACAGATTTGTATTACTGAATTGTCCAGTCACCACTTCAATCTCTTCCTCTCTATTTCTATTCTGCGGTGAGAGTATCATTAGCACAACAATATAGCCATTACAGCTAGTGACTAGTGTATCCTAAACGCAACGAAGCATAAGCGCATTTGAAAAAGTTCATTAAATGAGAATGTGAAAGCTTCTTTATTAACCTATTGTATTTCATAGTTAAGATGCAATAAGTATTATAAGTGTGTCTCAGAATAAATCGATCAAAAGATAAATATAACTGATTAGAACAAAAAAGAAACACAGTGCTTAGTCGCTTTGAAGTTTGAAAGCAGTGCATGTGGCCTTCTATCAAGAACACGGAATTATATAAATATAAGAAAGACTATAGATAATATTAAAAATCAATAGGCCTAGTTCTTTGAAATACCTCATACAGCTGGAGGCCAACAATAAGGAAAACAAAATTTAAGGGAAACAAAATTGAAATTTTGTTGCCATTACAATGAATAATAATATTATAATAAAAACAAGTAAACAGGGAGAGATATAGATAAAGAGGGGGAGAAAATATTATACAGAATGATAATTTGTATTGTGAACCAACCTGAGTTGATGAGGAATCCATCCCTCCGTCGCTTTTGAAATTATTGAATTCATCATTACCCTCATCTGAATAAAGGTCATGTTAATTATCAACTACACATTAGCCAGTATTAATTTAGCCAGATGCTTAGCAATGCACATAAATATGTGGACGGTGCATTCTTGGAATTTGTACAGCCTTACGATGAAAATGATATCAGATCAGTTGCAACTTGCAGTGGTACTTAGATCGAATCCAAATAAAATAATTGCATAAAGTGGACACTTTTTATGCACCATTATTTGTGGAAAAAATATTTGGACTATTTATTATTTATATGTGCACTTTATTTTTATTGATAGCCAGGCATAATGACAAGCTTGTATCTAAAAAGCTAAAAACATGATCAATGATCTGGCATACAGCGTGTGGTCAAGCTCAACTAACAGTGCTTTAAGGGGGCAGGGGGGGGGGGGGGGGGGTCTTAATGAAAATTCTCTCAAAGTTGACTTTATAGTTGTTTCTGATAGAGTGGCTCGTAATATCTATCAGCTGTTTTTGGTCCCATGGAAAAATATTGTTCCTAGCCGAAATTATTGTCAAAGGTCAGCGGTTGTGTATAATTGAATTGCGCGAGCGATTTTCAATCGCTCGCCCTGAAAATCGAGTCTAACAATCTATCTTCTCCTGAATTCTTTGAGCAATCACCTTGAAAATTTTAAGATATGTTCTAAGGACCATTCAAAAGATTCTGTTCTATCAGAATTTTAAGATAGGCCTTAGAAAATTTTTTATTCGATTTTGACTTGGACTTCGATTTTTGAAGATTTTTTAGGTCCAAGACTTTCAAAATCGAATGAAAAACTTTCTAAGGCCTATCTTAAAATGCTGATATAGAACAGAATCTTCTAAACGGTCCTAAGAACATATCCTGAAAATTTCAAGGTGATCGCTCAAAAATGTAGGAGAAGATCTAGATTTTTAGACTCAATTTTCAGGACGTGCAATTGAAAATCGCTCGTGCAATACAATTACACATAAGCGCTAACCTTTGACTGGCAATAATAATATTGTTCAGCTAGAAACAATACTTTTACATGGAACCAAAAGCAGCAGATAGATATCACTCCCCTCTATCAGAAACAACTATAAAATCAATTTAGAGAGAAATTTCATAAAGACCCTCCTGCCCCCTTAAGTTTTCATCATTGGGTGCATTGTGTTATGTAACCTTACAGGTGTCCAGCTTAAGATTGGGAATTGAGATAATTTATCATCTAAGAAAAAAAAGTGATCTAACTTACCACATGCAGAATTCATGACCAAATCAACTTTTGATATTATACAATTATACAATCTTTCATGGACAGTATGTAGTATCTGTACAGCCCTACAACCAAGACTTGTATTGATTGTAGAATGTAGATACTGCCCATCATGAATAATAGTAGTATGATTATAGTAGACGACTTTTGAGATAAGAGAGAGAAATGATACAAGGGTAGGAGTTGTATATAGAAATTATGGCTTATGTCATTATGACTAGTAGGAATCTTAACCTTATTCCTAACCAAACTGTTGTGTACTTTATTTAAACTACCTACTATACTTGGTCTTTAATAATGGTAGGTTCAGTTAAACGAAAAATATTGGATACTGCACTTCCAACTGGGTGTACTTACTTGTACTTGAAAAGGTCTCCTCCTAGTCGTTGGAGTGGCCTGCACCACACAGTCACTCCTTTCACCGATGTATTAGGCCGCTCCAATGTACCCTGTTTGTTGCTTGTTGTTCTGCATCTTCTATTGTGATGTTATCGACAACTGTGAAGATTGTTGCATCCTCCCGGACACATGACAGCCAGTTTTTCCGAGGTCTACCTCTTGACCTTTTGCCATGCTTTGGGATCCAGTGCAGAAGATAGTCAGGTATTATTTCTTCTGGCATCCTCACCACATGGCCAAACCATCGGAGCCTAGCTGCTTGCACGAAAGTATCAACTTGGTGTAGCAGGTTTAAAATAAAATCATTTCCCTCACTTGCCTGGCTTAGATTGGATCACTCCAAATAAAGTGTTAAAACTGTGTCTTCACCACTAACCAGTAGATTCATTCATTCACCTAAATTGAATAGATTTGAATAATTAATTGCAGTGGCGTATATAACGAAGGGCCCCATTGAAACACACTTTTTTGGAGATTTTACAGGCATATCCTCTAAAATCCCCTAATTTGTTCAATTTTAGGGAAGGGGGCCAAAAGGGGAGAGGCGCGAACAGGGGGAGCATTTTTGGTGGGGGGCTCCTTCAGGCAAGAAATCTTCAAAAGAGGTCTATGGAAGAAATTCAGGTTGCGTGCTTGTGAGAAATGTAAATAGCAGTAGATTAAGGGAAACCTGCATGGCAGGCTGGAATCCATACGATAGGACATTAGATTAAATGGTCATAATGCTAAGTTTCAGAAATCAAGCACTTTAACGGATTTGGCACAAGTCATGAGAACTCACAGTATAGCCTCAAATAGACAAGCTAGATAAACATGTGTGCTTTGTACTGGAGACAGTATGTGAGAATTCATGGACCTGTAATGTACAGCTATCAATATGATATCATTTATTTGAATATCTTTGAAATTATCAGATCAAGGATTCAACGAAGTCTCATTTGGAGATTAACAACAAAGATTAGGCAATGTACTAGTTTAAATATGTGTATTTACAAAAGCTCGTGCAGGCATGTAATACATATAGCATGGCATTTCCGAGACTTGTAAACGATATCAAATTCAAATCAGCCAGAGCTTCAAAATCAGGTAACAATGCAACTTGCTTGAACAGTAAAAAATAAAATAATTAAGTAGCTAGTAGGCGGTTTTCTGGTTCTTAAGTAATCAATACTAGTAAATAAAGAGTAGCGCTCGATTCCACAGGCTATCTTTATACTCATAATAATGAAATATTTATACAAGCTATATTAGAATACATTTGAATCATCAATTATTTAATAATTTCCTGATTCAAAATTTGCATATTTGTTTTTTGTAGTTTTGTTTATATTGAAAAAATAAATTCGGATAGCGCATGGTCGCGCGCGCAACAATAACGTCGTATTTGTAAACTAACGTCAAAATAACATATCACGTACACGTAACGCGCCGACGCCAGCGCGACTAGCAGCGCCAAACAGCTACTGTGGATAGCGCGGCTCTACGCAACCTGGTCCCATCGTGAATCACTAATTAGCTAAATGCTTCACTAGTATAATCTACAATCTAGATCTACAATACGAAGTAAGAGTTACCACGTTACTCTTTTATTTCTCCGTTAAGCCTACAATTCTAATAACTAACAATAGAGTATGAGGTCAATTAAATGTCCATAGATATGGATTATAGAAATTATATAAACACATAATTGAACAGCATGAGACAAGTGGAAAACTAACAAACGAATAGATTTCAAGCTCGTAAAGGATCGTTGCTGGATATTGGAGATTTCAAAACTGTAGTCCGACAGTCAAAGTTCTCTTGTCTAACTTTAGTGCGTATCGAACTTGACTCCAGATAGAGCACTTTAGTTCGACAGAGTCGAACCTCAGGGTTTGTCGAACTACATGGTAAGTGACGAACTAGAGTGCGTGTCGAACTTGGGTACGTGTACCGAATTTACCATGGTAAAAACATCTTCACACCGTAAAATGGGCAAAAGCTACAATAACGGTTCCTCCGACATTGTTTACAGCGGGCAATATCCTTTATTTCATTCAATTCTTCTGAAGTGTTCATGACCAAATTACGGTCTTTAGGATCGTCCATTAATAATTTAAGGAGGCTTTTGCCGGGACAACCTATACACCCTTTTAATTTTGACAGGGCAGCTCAGAAGTAGATGGTTCTAAAACAAAACATAAATAAATCTAATCCCTTTAAAATAAATATGCTACCTTCTAGCTTACTCATAGAACACAACTCGGAATGAGCTTTTATACTAATTCATATTCAAATCAAGCGGTAAGTAAATATTGATAATATAACTAACTCTACTGCATTATAATCCACCTTGGGTGGCTGAGAGGACCAATTCGTTCTCTCGACAGTTCAGGACTCAGAACCCCTTAAATTTTTTAATGGCAGGTCTATCCTGTGAAGGCACCAAATAAATCTTTGCAATTCCCATCCAAAATTCTTTTCTAAGAGGGCTATAATCCCATTGTGACGTCCGGTGTTGACGTTAGTGGCGTAACAGCCACAAGATCTTAGTGGCGAGTTGTCTAATGTCGATCCTAAGCTCATCACAATGCTGCATCTTTTCTCCCGTCAAGGTAGAGCGACTCCACTTTCAGATTCCGAAGGTCTTCTAACTCATTCTCTTTAGATCGCTGCACTATCTTTGGATTTCTTCAGTCTCCTGAAATATATTATGTCACAATAGATCATTAGATGATACGTAAAGATACTGTACAGGCAATCCATGATTGTTGATTTGTTTGCATACCCAAAAATATTTCTTTTATATTAGGATGTATTTGAAAAGTAACTTAAAACGACATGCAGAGCGACCAATAACGCCTGAATCAGTGCTTGGTAGCACAAACCGGAGGTTAAAAATGAATATTTGACCACATGGTGACATGGTTGTTGCATGGGTCACTTGCAAGTTCATATATCACATACTTGGTTTTACATTTCGGAAAGCAGCGTGGGTTTCAGAGTTCCGACTCCACTTGAGGATATGCTCCTGATAGCGTAATCCAGTTTCTTTATATTTGGGATAACCTCCGAAACAGAAACCATGTCCCCCTCCGCCGCTTTTGTGGTGATGTAGAATGGCTTCAGTACCGCAGTAGCTTTGGTCAGAAGATCCCAATCGTGAGGAGTCATCTGCAAAATTCAGTTGATCAATACTTAGCCTGTACATTGAGAAGTGAGCTAGGAATTAGGAGGTCCAGCGGACAAGAATTTGTTCCAGTTACATTCCAGGGACATTGATTCTCTAAACTTGATGTTAACTAGTGCTACTCAGAAAATGAGCGATGAGTCAAAAGAGCTGCATGTAAACTGACCTGTTGAGATGCAGACAACGATAACTCTGCATTTTGAGCGGTGATTGTTATTGCATATTTTTTATTCTGAAAGGCCTGGAACATCATGTAACAACTGTTCCATCTCGTGTCCACTGCAACTGGTCTGATGAGACTTGCCTCTACTGCTTGATTTTCATTCAGTAGACGTTTACCTGCATGTGCGGGATAGTTTAACATATGATAGTTAAGAAATGATAAACGCAAGTCGTAACAATGATAGTTTTGCCAAGATTATGTCACTCAACGAACATGTACCTACGGCAACATTTTAATCAAACGTTATTAATGTGTACATTTCAGTAAGAAAATATTTTGAATCAGCCGTTATTATCAGATTAAGTATGTGACAATGAAATCATCAAACAGAAAACCTAAGGTAAATGTAGTGATTCTCACCTGCAGGGGTTCTAAACTCCTTGATAAGACTCTTGATCTTTTTGATAAGCCGGTTAACTCCACTTTGAGAAAAACAGAATTCTTTACGATGAGATTCAGTAGATGGAGAAAACAGGATCCAGGCGGACAAAGCCTTTTTCATGTTCGAAGCAGTGTCGCTGATAACGCAGTGAAGTTTCTCTTCGGACAGACCCCATGCCTGCAGTACAAATGACACATTGTTCTTTAACGAGTCACGTAATAATTTGTAATTAGAAACTATGTGGGCAGCTAACGGTTAATATTTTCTACTATCAAAAAGCTAAGCGCACTCTGATGAACTCGAAATGAGCATGTATTTCGAATTTTACAATCTATATGGCATTGGCAGTCCTGAGTTCTGAGTTTGAAATTGATCATGGGGTTAGAAATGACACAAATTAGATATATATATGAGCTAAATTATTCAGATTTAACGATAGAACTTACCGGTATGTGCTCGGTTATAGGGAAGGCATCTCAGTACAATAACTTTTCTTTCGAAGTTTGTAGTTACGAAGTGTATTATGACCCCCAAATAGGAATCCAGCGCTTTTGACAACCAAACATCACAGCTCAGACTGTAATCAGCTCCTTTCAGTCAATAAATTTCTTCAGTTTAAACTGTACTCTATCATATAATTCAGGAAACAGTTTTGTGCGCACCACCTTCTCTGAGAGTATGTCAAACTTCTTGTTCAAACCTGAATGAGCCGGAAGTCAGATGATCTTAATTTATCTGTAAATTATTATCCAACAAATGATTGTCAATCTGCTGCTAATTTACTTAAAAGCAATCAATTTTATCATCACAAAGAACTCAATTGGAATTGTAATCTGGAGTCATCACAGCTCGAGCCTAGAAAAGTTGTTTTTTTATTGAGCTAAGTTATTAAAAACGTCCCAAATCAATCTTACCGTCAACAAACTGTTGAAATTGTTCATTCTCAACAGTCGTGTATGGGAGCATCTGATCAATAATCCATTTCAGGAGCAACTTTTTAGATCTTTTTGACGTTCATCAGTCTAGTAACAGTGGCGCCGCTCCAGACTGCCCCCAGTGTGGGCTGATTAGATGTTGTCAGTTGATACATCGATCTCCGCTCAGCTTCGACTTCATCAGACTTTTGTCTCTTGAGTCTTGACCCTCTGTGATTCACGTATTGCAGTTGCTTCCTTGTGTTTAGAAGGGTGCTTATGTTTCAAATGATCCCATAAAATGGTTACCTGGATAATTAGAATTAGAATTAGAATTAGAATCAAATTTACATAGAGTCCACTAGTATTTAATATTAGCCTGTACTGGCTCAATAAAATGTGACCTCCAGATCAGTTAAATTAAGGGTGCTGGAAGAATTTGCATAGAGTCCACTAGTATTTAATATTAGCCTGTACTGGCTCAATAAAATGTGACCTCCAGATCAGTAAAATTAGGGGTGCTGGAAGAGCTGCATAGAGTCCACTAGTATTTAATATTAGCCTGTACTGGCTCAATAAAATGTGACCGCCAGATCAGTAAATTTAGGGGTGCTGGGAGAGCTGCATAGAGTCCACTAGTATTCAATATTAGCCTGTACTGGCTCAATAAAATGTGACCTCCAGATCAGTTAAATTAAGGGTGCTGGAAGAATTTGCATAGAGTCCACTAGTATTTAATATTAGCCTGTACTGGCTCAATAAAATGTGACCTCCAGATCAGTAAAATTAAGGGTGCTGGAAGAGCTGCATAGAGTCCACTAGTATTTAATATTAGCCTGTACTGGCTCAATAAAATGTGACCTCCAGATCAGTAAAATTAAGGGTGCTGGAAGAGCTGCATAGAGTCCACTAGTATTTAATATTAGCCTGTACTAGCTCAATAAAATGTGACCTCCAGATCAGTAAAATTAGGGGTGCTGGAAGAGCTGCATAGAGTCCACTAGTATTTAATATTAGCCTGTACTGGTTCAATAAAATATGACCTCCAGATCAGCAAAATTAGGGGTGCTGGAAGAGCTGCATAAAGTCCACTAGTATTTAATATTAGCTTGTACTGGCTCAATAAAATGTGACCTCCAGATCAGTCAAATTAAGGGTGCTGGAAGAGCTGCATAGAGTCCACTAGTATTTAATATTAGCCTGTACTGGCTCAATAAAATGTGACCTCCAGATCAGTCAAATTAAGGGTGCTGGAGGAGCTGCATAGAGTCCACTAGTATTTAATATTAGCCTGTACTGGCTCAATAAAATGTGACCTCCAGATCAGTAAAATTAAGGGTGCTGGAAGAGCTGCATAGAGTCCACTAGTATTTAATATTAGCCTGTACTGGCTCAATAAAATGTGACCTCCAGATCAGTCAAATTAAGGGTGCTGGAAGAGCTGCATAGAGTCCACTAGTATTTAATATTAGCCTGTACTGGCTCAATAAAATGTGACCTCCAGATCAGTAAAATTAGGGGTGCTGGAAGAGCTGCATAGAGTCCACTAGTATTTAATATTAGCCTGTACTGGCTCAATAAAATGTGACCTCCAGATCAGTCAAATTAAGGGTGCTGGAAGAGCTGCATAGAGTCCACTAGTATTTAATATTAGCCTGTACTAGCTCAATAAAATGTGACCTCCAGATTAGTCAAATTAAGGGTGCTGGAAGAGCTGCATAGAGTCCACTAGTATTTAATATTAGCCTGTACTGGCTCAATAAAATGTGACCGCCAGATCAGTAAATTTAGGGGTGCTGGGAGAGCTGCATAGAGTCCACTAGTATTCAATATTAGCCTGTACTGGCTCAATAAAATGTGACCTCCAGATCAGTAAAATTAAGGGTGCTGGATGAGCTGCATAGAGTCCACTAGTATTTAATATTAGCCTGTACTGGCTCAATAAAATGTGACCTCCAGATCAGTAAAATTAGGGGTGCTGGAAGAGCTGCAAAGAGTCCACTAGTATTTAATATTAGCCTGTACTGGCTCAATAAAATATGACCTCCAGATCAGTAAAATTAGGGGTGCTAGAAGAGCTGCATAGAGTCCACTAGTATTTAATATTAGCCTGTACTAGCTCAATAAAATGTGACCTCCAGATCAGTAGAATTAGGGGTGCTGGAAGAGCTGCATAGAGTCCACTAGTATTTAATATTAGCCTGTACTGGCTCAATAAAATGTGACCTCCAGATCAGTCAAATTAAGGGTGCTGGAAGAGCTGCATAGAGTCCACTAGTATTTAATATTAGCCTGTACTGGTTCAATAAAATATGACCTCCAGATCAGCAAAATTAGGGGTGCTGGAAGAGCTGCATAGAGTCCACTAGTATTTAATATTAGCCTGTACTGGCTCAATAAAATGTGACCTCCAGATCAGTAAATTTAGGGATGCTGGAAGAGCTGCATAGAGTCCACTAGTATTTAATATTAGCCCCAAAAAAGCGGTCCTGGTCGAGCCTTGGCTTTAACGAGTTGGAAGCAACCAGAGAGATGGTTAGATGTATAAATTTGGGGATTGAAGTGGTTTGCAATAACCAGAGAGATGTTAAACAAATTGAACAACAGGTTGAACAAAAAAGCATGTGTAAAAAGTTATCGAGTGATAAAATAGGACAAAGGAGGAAGCATTGATATGATCTTAGGCAGCTAGACGCTAGCTAGCTCATCGCGGTGTCACATGACTTTAATACCACGATATCATTGGTCATCTATATATCCAATGCGAAATATAAATATAGCGCGTTTTTCATGAATTAGTAGCGCCGTACAAAAATTAAGCAGTTTGGAACAAAATTACAAGTTTTCAGTTTACAGAAATATTGAAACATTTCAATTTTTGTTTGCATGAAGCTGAAGGTTCTAATGACTTAATAAAGTCGTTTAGATAATAAAAATACTACAAAGATACCAAGTAAACTCACAGATATTGCAACTTGGTTAAAAACAATGCATTTAACTGTTTTGGTGGGGCGCGCGCGCCATCTCAGTCAATTACTCCCATATTTGGTCAAATAGGATAATAGGGACGCAGAATATGCGTCCCTCTAAAAAGTCCGATTCCCTTCATGGTATGCCCCTTTTTTCGCCTTCGGCGGCGCGCGCTTCGCGCGCGAAAAGTGGTATGCAACGTATGTCAAGCAAAAAGAAGCCTTGGCAAAATTTAGTGATTTACAGAAAAAGTTTTGTTGAGCGTGCTAAAGCACTTTACAGTCGATCTTCGAGGTTGTTCTAAAAGGCCCCCCACCACTTTGCTCTAACCAGAGCCCTCTCGCTTGCAGTAGCGCGCGACACATGGATATGTGAAACCACCACCCATGACATATAATAAAGTTAAACTGCTCCCCTGACGAGATATGGGCGAAAAACTGTCTTTACTTGAGGTTTATAGGGTTAGGATCGATCAAATTGAAAGGTTAGGGTTTCGAATAGTTATTCAGGACTTGACGGATGTTACTCCATACACGTCTAAATTTATTCGAAGTAGCGCGCGCCGCTTTCCTTCTCGAAATGTACGATGGCAAGTGCTACGAAGTAGCGCGCGCCGGGCCAGACCTTTAACAATGGTCAATTCGGGACCAGCTAGATAAAACAACTTACCTGGGCACTGGGGACCTCAAGCTATTATGTTCATAAATAGAGATTCGGTGGAATGACAGGCCAAGCGCGGCCCAGTAAATAAAATTAGGTACAGCGATGTGAGACAACGTGCATTTGGAAAAATGATTGCTGCACGTTGCATCCATCTCCAATCTCTTGTGCAGTACGCGAAATATAAACATCAAAATGTTAGCTGATATACGTTTTTGCTTTTATTACAGGTCTTTTTGGTCTGCGAGCGCGAAAAAAGGTATACAATTCAACGTACAAAATAAAACTTTTTGAGATAACTCAAAATTTACGTTGCCTCAAATTAATTGTGCTTTAAGGAATCCCCTTTCATTATTTTGTTTTTTTGTATTGGTGAAATTCTCAACTTTCTTTTGGTATTTTAAAGTTGAAATTTGACTTCATTTATTTGTCATTGGTTGCGATTTATGCTTTGTCAAAGTTTTTTTAATGAAAGTTAACGGGTGATACTCGTAAAATATTTGTTTCAAGACCGTCGACGAGTCCAAGTCCAACTCGACGCGCGTCGCGTCTTGGTAGGTTATAATTATAAACCTACAAAATGAAAGCGAAAGTCTTTTATATTAACCTATTAACCTATTAAACGCGCATAGGTTATATATAAAGAGTGAGACACTTTAGATCATATTTGGGGTACAAAACCATCAATTAAACCACTTACCCATTACCACCATGCAGCCGATTTAGAATAGCTTTGCTTATTGGCTTCGTCAGAGTTTTGCCTAAACTATACCTGGACTATGACGAAAAGGCTAGAGAAGATGGTTGATGGTTTTGCTATACACGAATTTTAAAATGGCCCTGAACATCAATCAATATCGAGACCATGTCAGCACTACAGTCTTTTCTTTTTTTTTTTTTTAAAGAGAGGCGGGCCTGGTTGGCCCACGAGAGGGATATGAAGATGAATGCTTTGCCACCGCTGGGGTATGGCTGGCCTGTGGGAGGATGCCAGTGGATCAAGATGTGTAATCAAGGATGATGGGAAGTGTTGTGGGGTTGTCCATAGTTAAACGCTTAATGGTGGTTTGAAGTGGTGGAAGAGAGAGGCGAAATAAGACGGCGTTAAAGTTATCGCTATGTAGCACCTGTTCCTTGGTCCAACTCTCCTGCACCACTAAGCGTTAGTGTGGTTTGGTATAAGTTGACAATGGTGGAGATGCTGGGTATGTCCGAATATGTCATTGACAGAGAGTTAGTAGTCCCGGAAATATTACCTCTATTTGGGCACTAGCCGGGCACTGTCCGAGAAAGTGTGAACAGTCCTCCTCTTCGTCGCCGCATTTAGGACTAGCACTTGTGTCTGATTTACAGTCTGTACTGTGATCTTCCTAAAGGTCAGCTCCAAATAACCCCAACGAAGCCTCAGACTTTGCAGGGTCTTGCTCACACGACATCCGGAGCTGACACCTGAACAAACTGATCCTCTTGAAAACCGAGTCATTGGGCATACTAATCGGGGGCGACCTTACCTAACACTACTAGATATCCTAAAGAGCAGATACTGGGCTGAAATCAGTAGATAAGCATAGCTAACTATGAGGACAGTAAGCTGTGGAGAACTGTTGTCAATGGATCTCGGGAATACTACCCGCCTTAAGTCAAGTAAGTCAAGTCAGTCATACCGAAAAAACCAGTCCCATAACTCTTACTGTTTTCTTGATTAAGCCGCTCGGAAATTACACACATACACACATATACACGGATTTTTTTGGGATTATTAGTATAGATAATACGCGCCTTATTAGACAGACTCTTAGAAAGCTGCCAAAGTAATGATCGAGTGAGAGTCGATATTTGTATCAATTCGGGCAAAGCGTAGACACAAAAATGTGTACCAGTCGAGTGATAAGCAATTAAAATAATCGGGGGAAGTTGTCGCACATTGTCAGGCTTGATCGCTCGAAGGAAGCTCAAAGCTTATGAGTAGTGCTATAAGCTCTTAACAGTCAAGGGTGAAAACCGTCCATCGAATAACAGAATAAGAACGAAGTTTTAAAACGAACGGTAAAGACATTATTATCACTACAATATAACAGCATTTTACTTTATTAGTATTTGTCTTTATCAAAACCTTTAAACTCTCAACAAAACATATCAAGTCCTTTCTTTTATAACAGTCACTGCCTTTGATAATAAAGATACCAGTTATCAGAAATTATGAATCAGTTATCACATGTATAATAGATCCAATAAACAATAAAGGCAAACTTCTACATAATTAAAATAAAATCAGCCAAATCATGAAAATTTTCAAGTTAATGAAACAGCATTGATGAGTAAGCAATATGTATATAAATTATAATAGAACATTGAATTTTAACCTAAATAAAAATGTACAAAAATAATCCATGTTCGGTGGAACGTTGTCACAACAATTGTCAGCAATGAGTGCACGTGACAATGCCCGCGCGCGCGTGTAACACTTGAAGTTTTCTCGACTCTACTACATCCGCACAGACACAACAAAAGCTATGAGTTCTAAAGAGGGCACTTCAAGGGGCCAGTGGAGGGAACGCTGACTGGAGATAAGAGAGAACATGGTTCCTCCTCCAACCAGCCCCTGATAGGATCTCCTCTGTAGGGTGATCAGTAAAACCAGTTTACTGGCACCCACTGGGGACTGGTGGACAGTTTGCTGATGCATTCGTACAACTTGCTGTACGTTTCGTCCATGTTGTTGTTCTGGATTATCACGTCAAAGTAGTGAGAGTATTGCCGTTTCAACCGCTTTGATTCCTCTATAGACTTCTTTAAATCGTTCTCCTGTGATTAAGATGCATTAATAATTTGGCTATATTTAGTTGAAACGGAACATGATTAATAATCCCCCTACCATGAATAAACAGTATACTAAAGACAGCGTTAAGACTAAGTGGATACTGAATTCTTGTTTAAATGCTTTGATCATGTAATATTGAGGATGAAATCCAACTCACCGAGAAAGCTTTGTTTGGGTTGTCCCGGGCTGATTCTTTGTGCATCTGTACTAAGGTTTCGAAAGGGGGAGCCTCAATAAAAACTATGTACGGTACGAACTCGGATGTTTTGAGGACTTTAAGAGACTGGGGGTTGACGTCCAATAAGCACATTTTACCAGACCTGAGAAGTGGAGTTGTCAGTAAGTCTTGTGGTGATAAGTCACGTTACCACACGTTACCACACGTAACGTACAGTATCATCAATTAAAACCTGAAGGAATTAGAACATTCCCAAAATTCCTAGCAAAGCCCGGATAATATCTCACCTCATGACTTGTCTGATGGAATCAAGTTTGGTGCCGTACAAATGTTTCTCGTACTCCCCATATTCCAAATATTTATGGTTAGCAATGTCCTCGTCCATCTTCTCTCGTGTCGTGAACCAGTACCCACAACCATCCTTCTCTCCTGCTCTTATGGGCCGAGACGTGTCTGAAACATACTCAATTAGTCAATACTCAAGCAGTTACTGCCACATCTTATGGGTGCTCGATGATGAAGTTTAAGTTCTTAAAAAATAATAACTGATAGAGATATTTTCAAGACGATGAAGGGTGCAAATAAATTAATCTATAAGTCAGCAAAGGGAATTTCAAATATGTTCCCAAACAACTCACGAGGCATGGTGTTTCCGAACTTGTCAGGCTCATTGAGAACAAGTTTACTAATCAGAGACCGTCTCCCTACTCCCTGTGCTCCAATGAGTACCAGGGTCTTCCGGTCGAAGGGGGGCATCTTGGCCACTTCTTCGTACAAGTTTAGCTCGTGTTGGTCAAAATCTGAAGAAAAAAAGGTAGGAATATTGACATTCGGGTAGCTGGCGAGAAATTGGGTAGGAGACACAATATTAAAAGTCTTACTTACGGGTGAAGATTTAACAAACCACATGTCCATTCAAAATACATACCTGAGTTTTTGTTAGCGGAGTAGTTCATTTTCTTGTTCTTCTTTTTCCTCCTGTTAGCGCCGCCACATCCTATAGACGAGGTTTTCTCGTTGTTAGTGTTGTTCTTGCTCGCCATACGCTGCTCTTGTAGAATCAGACCAGGGATCAGACCTGCTTGTCCTTCACCTCCTTCCATCTTAGCCTGAGATAATTTAATAGTGAACATCTTTTTTAGACTTTTACAATCAATAAGAACAAATAATTTTCAATTTGAAAATGATAAACGGTTTAATCTAGTTACAAAATCAAAATGCCAGAACTACAGTACCTGCCACCAATTTGGATCGTCCTGGTTAACAATCTGCAGGATATCCCCCTCATTAAACTTCAGGCCGGCTTCCTTGCACGGTATCAAGTTGTCTGACTTGGGATCGTAGTTAAAGTGAGCCTTGACGAACACTTGGCACGCTGGAGCTTGTTCCCGGTACGAGGGTATTATCTTGAGATGAATATCTCCTTCTTCGTCTGAAGAGAGAGAGAGGGTGTGAAGTGTTTTCATTAGATGAGGCACTTATATCAATTGTGCGGTATTTATGGGAAACGTTTTGTTCTGAAAAGTACATTATACCCACCAAAATAAACAAATACTCAGTCGTAACTTACATTTCAACAAATACTCAGACTTACCTTTCAGCATGTGCTGTATAAGTTCAGGTTTGGGTTGTACATCCTGATTGTTGATAGAAATAATAACATCCCCAATGTGCAGCAGTCTCTGTCTGTCTATCATTCCTCCCGCCAAGATCCTGTGAACCACCACCCGGTCGTCCTCCTTCTTCAGGGTGATCCCCAGAGGTTCTCCCTTGTTCTTGTGGAGTCCCACCATCCGGTAGATGCTGTGGTTGGTGTTACTGGTGTTATCATTTCCCCCTACACTCCTTACGTCCTTCATCTCTGGCAGGGTTTCGTTCTCGTAGTACGTTCTCGATATTATCTCGTCGTGTAGATCGATGAAATCTTCGAAGGTTTCCAGTAACCCAACCAGTTCCAGGATATTGGCATTGTCTTCTTCAACGTCCAGTCTCTCGTCAAGATAGTCCAGGGTCTGTAACAAGAATTGTTAACTATCAAATTAACATCCAAATTAGAGGTGTTATATTTGTTTTGAAAGAAAGAACATTTCATAGTGAGTAGATTAGAGGTCTAAATTTGTTTTGAAAGAGGCGACAAAAAATGAAATGGTTAAAACTGATAGACCATGTCTGAGTAGGTAGTCTGAGTTACAAGTCTAAGTATACGGTTGGATAATTCCATACTTACATCCTCGAGGGTGTTTTTAGCGAAGTACTGAGTGGAGTTGGGTGGGACGGTAGCGTTGGAGAGCGTGTGGTAGATGGATCCAAGTGCTATCGTCAGTTTTGATTGTAACATGTTGTGTACCTGGGTATGTTGACTACGATGAGATCATTGATCGTTACATCATTTTAAAGTATGCAATATGAGTTATGAAAGAATGTAAAAATGTAAATCCCAAAACTTAAAACCCGCAATCTTTTGTATTAAGTTACTAATCGTAACTGCTATCCACAGCTTAGATGGAGAACATAGCATGATAATTTCTAAAAATTAGCTTTTCAACTTTTCAAACAAGGGCATAGAAGGTGCAGAATATCAAACCTTGTGGTACTCCTTATCGGAAGTGGGGGCAGTCTGTTGTATCACATCGAAACTATCCAATATCTCCTGGATATCTTGTAAGGAGAACTTATCTGAAAGTAAGGTGTGTTATTTTTCACCGAAAAACTGTACAATTGACCAAATAATAATGGCTAAAAATAAAATTATAATAAAACTTTTTCCGGCAATCTCGGCTCATGGGTGTGTCCGCGTGAGCATTTATAATTTGACCAAAATTGGATTATAGTTGTATAGATCTATACTTAGAGCATTTCTTATCAATGTGAGACAGCGTGGAGAATATGGGATTGCTAATTTGTCGCTTTAATGAATTTGCCTCCTCAAGGCTTATGAGTTGACTTAAGCCTTAAACTCGAATGTCCTCAATTCTAAATGACAAATATAATTTCTACGCACAGGGACCAGTGTGTATCCTTAATTTATTTTCATATTCCTTGCACTGTAAATGGTCTAAATACAATATGATGTACTCAAAGCTCTGGTGCGATGTTACACAATATCATACATTCGCAGTTCAGGTCTTCACTCTCCAAAGCTACACGTCATTTGAGGAGTACATACTGAATTTCCGGACCAACTGTTAACCGTCAAAAGTAAACATTCTAGTGTACAGCGCGTTGAAGATCATACGTTTAAACGATTAACGGTGTTATTAAGCAGATGAAATTACCGTTGGTAGGATTGGCAGAGTTGGTAGGATGGTTGGTGACAACGTCTTCGAGACTGTTCCTCATAAGATAGAAAACTTCATCATCTTCATCGTCCTCCTCCAAGTCTTCAGGTAAAGGGGACACTCTGAAATCATCATCTTCCTCGTCACTGACTTGCTCTGTAACTGCCTCGCACTCCAGCAGAGATGTCATCAGAGATGTCACCTGCAGCTCTGAGTTGAGGATCGAGTCGAACCCGTTCAGGACCTGCTGAGAGTCCAAGGCGGAGCTGGAGGGGGCCGGTGAAAGGTTGTCAGAAGGACTGTCGAAGACTGGAATATCTTCGTAGTCAGTAGCTGACGGGACTCTTGCAGCTACCGGCTCTGGGAGTGGGAGCGATGATCGGCGAGCTATGAAGTTATCAACGGACTTCGCAAACTCTGAGATAGGTTGGTCTTCGAATATCTTGTTGAAAGGGTTGCCCTCATCAGGTACCAGATCACGTTTCCTAAGCCCAAACAATGGTTTCAGTTTTGAAAGGATCGTGAGAGAGGCACTTCTATTCCTACGTTTGGGCGGATTTAATCCTTCATTCGAGGCAGAGGTTGAGTCACCGTAGCCCGAATCTCGAGAACTCTTGCTACTATTATTTTTAAAGGGGCATTCCGAACACTCGGAGTTGTTAGAACTCAAGATAGTGCGGATAGGGAGGGCTGAGGTGGCAATAGGAGGAGCAGTTACAGGAGCGATAATCGCAATAGCAGGAGCAGGAGGAGCAGGAGCAATTATCTCAGGAATGGGAATTGCAGGAACCTTCGGTGCATGAGGTTTAGGGACAATTTCTAGGAGAGACGTAGAAGCTGTAAGGGTTGCAAGAAAGTCATCTTTAGTCATCTTGTCAGCTTTAGTCATCTTGTCTTTCTCATTGAAATTGTTGCACTTGTTAGAAACAAAAGTTTCACTTTTTTGGAGGTAAGCCTGCAGACTCTCGTTGAGGTCAGAGGAAGATTTGCTCGTTATATGAGCGTTGATAACATCAGCGTATTCGCTGAGCGGTCTGACTCCTTGCTCCAGGTCCCCGACGACAGAGCCATCAGGAGTACAGTCCAATGGGTTTGATGCAAACCGTTGCTTTATCAGTCGCATGCAGTACGACTTGTTCGTCTGTTGAAAAAACGTGCGCACCTTCTCTTGCAACTCTTTATTACCGTCAAATACAAAAGAGAGGGAATTTCTCTTCTCGATCTCGGGAAAAGCACAGGGAAGAACACAATGGTCGGATAAGTATTTCCTACCAACTCTCTTAAACAGATCTTTGACCTCATTTAAATCCCGGAAAGCAGGCCCTGCACCTGTTCCATCAAGTGAATGATGTCTTCTTTGTCTAGCCCTCCTCGCCGAAAAAAGATCTGGACTTCGGAGAGGGTGATCCTGTTGCTCCTGAGGAACAGTTGAATCTGTTTTCTGAAGTGGCCTAGAGTGGATAAGCGCCTCAACTACTTCAGTTTTATGAGAGTGTGGTCTCTGATTCTCCCGATATGCTGGCTGTCCAACAGGAATATCACTTGATGTATTCCTGATCGCTTCAACTCCATCACCGCGCTCTGGAAGGAGGTCTAGTGAGGGACGGGATGGGATGCTCGCACTGGGCTCTGAGGAAATGGTGTCTCTGTCAGTAACTAAAGTCAGATCCTCTTGGTCCGAATATTTTAACCTATTGTCATGCGTTCTCTGTAAATTCCTAAATTCATGCAAAGCTATATGATTGACCTGCAACGACTTCGACCGTCTGATATAGTTCAGGTACGAAACAGGTGGGTGGTTTCCCGAGCATATAGCAAGAGTTGATGGTAATCGAGCCCTTGGATGGGTATTGGGAGAATAACGGGGGCTGGGTAGCTTTTCCACACCGTCATCCTCCTGTGGAGAACTTCCCACACAAGGCTGCGAGCACATTCTGTGCCGGTGCCGAGCTTTTCTCATCAGAGAATGCTGAAGGACAAAGTCATCAGGACCATTGAAATTGTTACCTGAGCTATCGTGAGTGTTGTTCTGTGCATTTCGAGATGTAGGGTTCCGCACACTAAATCCTAATGAGGAGGATGATCGTCTCTTCACGTACGTTTTACAGTTCACAGTTGGTTTTGCTTGTCCAGCTCTGTTAGTCTCGTTGTCAGGAGAAGGAGTTGTTCGTAATGAGTTATCAGGAGGAGTAACAGGAGCAGATGGTTCTGACTGCGTAGGAGAAGAATCTCCTGAAGACACTTGATATTTTTCAGGAACATCTATTTTGGATATCTTTGGTATCGAAGGTTTAGCTGGCATGTAATCTTCAGGAGGATCCAGAACGGGATAAACTCGTTGAGGTTTCGATTCAAGTTTCCCAATTTCAAGTTTCTCGATCTTTTGGGTTATTTCCGGAACATCTTCCTCTGTACCATCCTCTTCTGGAATAGTTTCTTGTGAACACTGGCGCTTGTGAAGATGTTTGCCACTAGAGCAACGGGGTATGCTCTTGAAGGCACTGCGTGAAGAACCGAAGTTATCCTTTTCCAGTTTCTCTGAGGAACCATTAGACTTGGATCTAGTCAAGGATCTTGATGGAGGATCTTTGATGCTTCTCTTGCTGTTTCTGAGGTCGGACACGTCGGAGTGACGACGGAATCTGACCCGGTTACCAGAAGTTTCGTCTGCTAACGAGTTCCTTTGTCTGACTTCTTTAATTACTTCAATTAACCTATCAATTTCTTTGTTGGACGGAATCGAACCTGATGAAAATAATTCAGAACTCAACGCCTGGCTTAACGATAGTTCAGAATTCGCAAGTACCAATGGTTTCAAAGCTAGAGGTCTTATGACGTCCGATTCGATAGGATAGCCGCGGGAATTATCAAACGCTTTTTCCGCCATCCTGTTAGAGTCAATCTTATACTCGAATATTCTCGAACCCAGTCGACCATAGTCAAGGGAAGCAGACCTATCCAATTTAGTGCGCCTGGCTACATCCTTCTCTTCTCTAGCTAACTGAATGAGGTGCTGCTTCACCTTCAAGCTGCTCGCTTCGTCTCTTTGGAAACGTGAGGGAGGCAACTGCCTCACAGAACAGGTTCCAGACCCACGGCGGCTTACATAAGAGGCATTGACCACTGATTTGGCATACGATACTTCTTCATTCTGCATGGTAACATCTTATCTTCGGGGAGTCATCAGCTGGGAAATTAATTTGGTAACGATGACGAAATCGCAAAAATTATATTTATTGGCAACAGCTAAAGTTGACGTTATTTAGGATAAGTCAAGAGACAACGCAATGGTCGGGAAACATTTTCTTAATAAAAGTGTGAGCATACCAACATAAATGTTGAAAAGTAGGCGACGAAATCGACAAATGTAACGATTCATATCAAATTTACGATGATCATAATGAAATAAAAGCTTTTTAAATCGAATCGAACGCCAACCATTAAGTGGCGATTCCGATTTTGAGACTAAGAATGAGGTACAACACACGGCGTCTGTACAGTTTACAAACACATAGCCAGGTTTACTTTATAAACCACCTGGCACCTAGGTCTGTCTTGTACAGAACTTTAAACGTACTTAACAGAACGTCAAGTATATACACTGACGAGCATTGTTGCATGTTGCGACATACAGAGGAGTGTCAAGAAATGACTTCCTTCAGGGATGTCATATTTAGGACGCTCAAATGTGTGGACAGACACCCGGGGACTACTACAAACGTGTCAGTACAGCAGGGTGCTGGAGACTTGCAGTCTGTCTTCTTCTAATGATGTCACTACTTTTACGATGTAAGCGAATGGCTGTATTTAACTTATTATAAATAATCGACGATTATCGATCGATTATTAATCGTGAACTAGCACAGCAGTGTTTATTTTGGTAAAATGGAGTGTTTTACTTAAATGGAATATTTTACTTAAATGGAATAATTTTACTTAAATGTTAAAAACTCATACAAGAAACCAAGTCCCGCCAGCTGGGTCACACTTGCCCACATGCCGCTCCTGCAGCTATTTGCAACACTGATCTAATGAATATTGAATCGGGAAATTGCGAAAAGAAAACGAGCCCATTTATAATATCGGACTTACTCACAGTAATTTCAACAACATTAAGACATACGTACTTTAAAACAAATCGGATACTGATTGCATATTTCAGGGTATTTCTGGGTACTTCCGGGTAATTCAGGGTATTTCGTCCTTCGAACAATACGTGAATACGAGGTGCGGGTAGTAAATAAATATTTACTACCCGCACGTAAATCACGTATTTACATACGTAAATATGTGAGACCACTAGAACAGACCACTAGAACAGTGGTTCCGAGGTGCGGGAGACCACGGTACGGGGTATGCATGGAGAGGGGCTACCAACACCAGACTACGAGAGGTAATGTGGGGATAATGAACTATAATGAACAATGATCACTAAACTAATGAACAATGACCCTAATATGTATAGCTTTGCACTGAGTGCAGGATAGCGACCGGATATGTTTATGACCTTATGCAGATCTGTCGAATTGGGTCATAGTAATCTACATACACCGTCTTAGTTCATTTTCTGAACCGGAAGAAGTTGATCAAAAAACGCAATATAGCAAACTCTCTGTACGTTTACAGATACAAATTACACAGTAACTATTGTTGAAGTGGAGATCGTGACAGTACAGAGACGTGACACGGACAGAGAAATGTGAAAGCGAGAATATAGTAGCTGTGACGAGCGTAGAAATATTTTAGTCAGGAGTAAGAGAAGGGTCACCGAAATTGTGCAACAGCGACAATTTGATTCGCTAATTAGTAGATTGCTGTAAGAGACACAATGTCATAATTGAAAGATAGCTATCAATACTCGAAATTAAATAAAAGTCAAGGAATATGACACGATTGAGTACAGCAAGGGTAATTGCCGCAAAGTTGGCAGTATTCTCCTAAAACAAGTATGAAGTATATCTGGAGGGCGGAATTCAGATCAGAGCACGCTCGATAGACACGACTTTTCAGACATAAATTAGGCCACAAACAAACAGAAAATCATGGCAATACAAATTAAAAAACAAGATATGTAAGAGATACTATCATGAGATTATGTTAAGAGTGCCCCAAACTGAACGTTACAGTTACACTGCATAAATTCTAAACTCTCAGTAAACGAAAACTAAACTAGTAGCAAGTACTCAAGTAGAACACCTGGAAACATCTCACTGAATATCGTCAGCAACTGGCCTGCCCGCAAGTCTCTCTCTCTCTCTCTGTTAAAGGGATAATAACTTTACACTACACATGATCCTTAGGATAAAGCTAATGAAGGTCCCGGCTCACTCCGCGCATTACATCAGCGCTATTTTAGGAACATATGCGCGACTATACGATCTTTACAACAATGGAGGAGTGGTAATGAGACATCTGTTGACTACCTAGCAGACTGGGGCTCTGTCTCATCTTGCCCTCTCTTTTAACTCGGAGGGAATCATGAGGAATAATGGGAATTATGAGGAATCATAATAATTATGTGGAATAAGGAAGAGTCGTGTATCTTGGGGCAGCCCTCGTACATGTATTCAAGTAGCCACCAGCTAATGCACACTTTTGAAGAGGGAGTTACGTCACTTTGTTGAGCAGAAACTGAATAGTTACATGTATAATTGTCAAGATTCACACGGTCCGAGAGTTGTCTCTTTCTCTCTCTATCTCAAAAACAAGGACCTGTATAGTCATGATGTCATCTTTTGTAACTTAAGGAGAGTAGTGAGTACTGCAGAAAAGGAACTTGTTGGCCAGAGATCTGTAGTACAGAATACAGGAAGGTAATTAACATATGACTTCACTGGGCTGGGAGGTTTAGCTTTTTCCACAAAAGTACAGTGATCTAACGTCTAAATGATAAATTAGGAGAAAACAGGGCACGTTAGTGGAGAAGAAAGTGCTCTATCGGTTGAGCGAGGTTTAGCATCGTGCAGCTACTACAAGTGTATAGACTATCTTAATTAATAGTAGATAATAGATCTGGAAAGTGGTATGGAGCATATTCCATAATGGAGGAGAACCGTATTATGCTCTGACACGTGACAGCAGTTAACTGATCAGCTGCCCGAATCGACCAATCAGAACACAGAATAACTATCACGTGTCAAAACAAAGAATGTTCACCTCCCCACCAGTACCCAGTTCCATACCTCAACCCTATTATACCTGTACATTACCACAATATTGCACAACAGTCCAACATGAAAAGTTGCAATAAAACTGATAAGCACACTACATACCGGGGATACCACAAATACCACAATACCGCGGATACCACAAAAGATAGCGGTCAGTGTTAAACCGCAATGTGGTCCACTCTATCAGCAGCTTAGTACTCAGCAGACAACTCCGAGGGGGAGAGAGAAGATGTGGTTCATTGAACATGAGTGGGTATAAGCAACTCTAATCAGTAGTTTAATAGCATGACATTAGGAGCAGGTTACCCAGTGCTATGTGGGTAGACTGGAGCGAGAGTTAACCACAATGAAATATGAAGTGCACTGCCAGTCCCCGACCACAATGACGTGAACTAGCCCACCAGTCCCCGCGGGGTGAGTGTATATTATTATTATCACTAGTTGTACATGTTGCAAACTATTCATATGATGTATCTACCAGTCGCCAAAAGAGCCGTGTTTATCTACAACTCATAAATTGCTTGACTTGTCTTCATTTGTCTAAGTTTTGATTGAGTTTATAGCCAAAACTTGACAAACTATAAAATTCAGTAACATTAATAAATGCCAGTGCTTGGTGTATTGTATTATAGCATAATATTATGAGCCACTAAACGTTAAGTGCTGGAAAGTAGCGCAGCAAAGAAGAACTAACCGAAGTGGCCCTCGTGAGAGAGAAATGGTACTGAGACATAACTGGTACTAAAATACTGCAGAACAGAAGTGGTAGCGATGAAGTGGTAAAATGAACTTGTCAAATCACTACTGGAGACCTACCACGGAGCTCAAATACTAAACCATGGAGGTTATGACGGTAAATGAAAAGTGACAGGTTCTGGAGACAGAGCAGCTTTTATTAAAATGGTGGTTAACAAGCTCAGTGCTATAGTAGATGTTAAATGTCACAACATGTTAAATGTCACAACAGAAATATTTAGCGACTGGCTAAAATTTAGTATGTGTTATTTGTGAGCGAAAACATGCAGCTTTTAGATAAAGCCCCATTGAATGAATAGAATTACTAAACGTATTTTTGTGGTAAACGCGATAAAATATTTCGAAAATCTTAATAAATCTACAAATCGAAGAAATCAAAAACTAGCGGCGTTACAGCGAGCGATTGCTTAGAAACTGAAATCATTTACACTAAAGGAACTACGTTTAAGTCGCGGAAGATTATGTCATCATAGAGGGGAATATTGAATACCATACTTCGAATACCATTCCGTGCATGCCACATAACTACTACCTACTCATCCGAAACACACTGCCCTGTGATTACATTGCACTGCAAAACTTATTGCCTTATTAGTATGGTTATATAACATAGTAAGATGACGTATTCGCGTCATTTTGGTGACTCAAAACTGTATGATTATAATATGATCAAATAGCGGGTAGTAGCTTGAAGACTACCTAATGGGCAAATGAAACGCATCACGACACACTAATGACTGGGTAGTCAGGGTAATTATACAGTTGTAAGAGGTAGACCGCTGGTTAATGAGTTTAAACGCGGCTAAACGAAAACACTGGCTATAAACTTCCTGTGAAAACTGTTTTCATAACTAACGAGGGAGTATACATCATGTAACAAAATACTGACCAATAACTAGGCAATAAATATTCAAACTTTCGATATACACCAGGATAACAGTATCAAATGTCAAATTGCATTGGGAAACGCTTTTGATAAATACTACTAGAATTCTCACATAAGCTATAGGGGGCAATGCGGTGACATCATGATTATATTCAGGACGCTGGGCATAATTCCCGCATGGGATCATTATAATACAAGCCAAGGCAGAACACCTGCGAGTATTGAACACAGCTTACTATAATCAAACAACAGGTGACTTAACCCATAATAGCATGTATATAACAAAAATCAATTAGACCTGGCTATGAGGAAAACCTCCATCAAGAAAAAAATTCGCATCGTCTCCCCGCTCTAAACGCAGAGTACTCGAGCGGTCTAATTTTAGATATTACTTCAGAATTGTGGGAGAGTTTTTTATATTTACTGATGGTCAATAGAAGACACTTCTACACCTCAGGTGGCAATACGCTGGGAACTATTAACTGGGATAACACGACTGCTATGTCAATCAGCAGCGAGCTCACACTCAGACTATCCGTGGCAGAGAATCTGAGAAGACCGCGGGGGTTGAAAGATAAAATTATAAAATATCTGCCCGCTTAAATAATTAA